TCCCATAAGGAATATTGTGAAGTAGATTAGTCATTTATGACCCCAAACATACACTACAAATGCACTTAACATAAATACACATACATATTGGTCGCATTGGAGGTGATCGTTAAAGCGGGGGTCACTGTATATATACAAGGTGAAATTAACAGCAAAGGCATCCTGGTGCACTCAGATCATTACTGTCAAATTCTCAGAACCATCGGGAGGGAAACGTGAATACGAAAAAAAAAAAAAAATTCTGAAAAACAATCAGTTAATAACAATCAGATGACATTTCCTTCATCTCGACAACAAGTTAATACAGACTATGTACATTGAAACCCAATTCTGCTAGGGGTGAGGTTTAACATATGCAGAATGGTTATCAACTCTGGGAGGATCGAATCCTCTGCAATGGCCTAACACATTGCCTTGACTGAGGGAGATCTGAACGAGTAATCTACAAAAGATACATGTGGGTTTTTCTCATTACTTGTCGAGTACGCAAGGAGTAATGACATTCAGGTTGATTATCTGAACAGAGTATTAGAGTGGAGGGTAACAGAGTCAAAGAGGATTTTCAGCTCTGTCCACAGTTAAAGTCTAAGGTAGACAATACATACAACATCGCATACTAATTTCATATGATCTAAAATGCGATTCTTTTGTACTTACCAGTACTAATTTCTCTAACCTTATACTTATTGCCAGAGATATGTTCTACAACTCTATAAGGTCAACAACTTTTGATTGAGCTTTGGCATATCGGATGTTTAGTTGAAATTTATCAGCATACTCTTGAACCTACTTTTACTTTTGATGGCTTTGCACGGCTATTAGTTTAACTCTAGTAAATTCTGCTGTTGATTTATGAGTGTTCACGATTCTTCTAAAAACAACCTGAGTCATGCTGTTACGAGTTTGCTCGAATCATCAGGGTTGTAATAGGGTTTCGGAGTGAATATAACAACACATAGGGTAAACGCTTTCTACACCATACAAATGCATAATGTGGAGTATCACCTATGGAAGCATTTGTAAGCAGAATTTATGGCACATTGACATCTGGAATAACTTCATCCCAAAGTTTTAATTTTGGGGTTTGAAAGGTTGGAATAAAAAACCCCCGGTTAACGTTTTTTTCACCTAAAATGTTAGTGAGTTCCTTTTTTAAAGGAATTTGGGGAAAGATTGCCAAGCCCCCAAACATAACTAAAAACCCCAAAAAAATTTAAAATTTATTGGGGTTTAATTTTTCCCCGGGGCCACGACTTTCTTATTGGTTCTTTCCCAACCCATTGCTGGCAGGAGAGAGGAACAATGGGGGATTTAGAGATCTTGTACAAAAAAACAAAAATTTTTCAAGAATTCTTTTCAGAATTCCCCTCCTTTTATCTGACTAAGGACTTAGGGGGGTATCCCTCGATAATGGTTTTTTAAAAGCTTTAGCTACTGTCTCACATCTTATCTGCAATGGGAACAACTCACAATATCTGGTGAAATGGTCACCATAACACACAGATTTTGTTGCCGGGAGGGAACATTTAAAATTGGGTTTAATAAATAAAGGGCAACTCTTTCCCACGGTTCGCTGGGGGTTTTGGGGGCACATTTGGTTTGGATTAGGACCATTGCATTCCTTTATGTGCATCAAAAACTACATTTCTTAACAACTCTAAAATGTCAGTTGCCATACGTCCCCAAAAAGTTTTTCATTCTGGCTTGTTCACAGAACACCAACCCAGGGTTTTCAACCCCTGTTGCATCATGAACTAGCTGTAGGCTACTTTAAACTATGACTGTGGAATTACTAAGGAAAATCTTCTGTTTGGGATCCCCAAACTCGGCGTTCGATACAGAAATTTTTTGGCTCTTACAAAGTCCTAATGGGTGCTGGTGGCTTCACTCAAAAAGACTTCCTGGACAGGAATCGAATCCCCCAAAACACAAGGGTGGGTTTTCCTTCTTACTGGGGAAATGAACAACTCGGGAGTGGTGACTCCCAAGGTTGAAAAAAAAAAAACGCATAACACGCAAATAAAAGGGAGAACGAATCTCTATCTAAAACTACAAGCACGGAAAAAGAATTAAACCCGGGTCAACAATCAGATATTCAAATCTGATCCACACTGACAAGGTTCAACTAAAGGAAATTTCACTTACAAACATTAACAACATGTAAAGTTACTCGAGAAATAACTTCTTACAATACCTGTTACTCTCAATAGATGGGACCCATCGGGAACAAAAGGGAAAACAACAGACACTCTGTGAGAGCACTAGCCGCAACGGACTTTTTTCGCATAGGGCAGTGACATCAACAAAGATGCTTTAACTATTCAAGTAATCTTTTTTGAAAAGGGGCATCCCCTGTGGAGAAACCTACTTGAACTAGCAGACTTTTGCAGGGATAGGCTTGCACTCAAAGCATTGAGTGCCCCCGGACACTTGAGGCAAGGAACCTATCCTGCAAATCTAAAGGTGGGAGGAACACAGGGGGAGTGACGATTACTAGTGCCTGACCGCTGGGCATTTTAATAAGTAATTCACGGATCATGGGAACTAATCAAAATTAAATTTTGCAGCATTTTAACAGATCTCAGTACAAGCGTGGAAAAAAACACATTCTAAAGGGGCTGGGCTTTGTCTTTCAGTCAGTAAGGGGAAAATTGTACTGTGGACTGATTCATATTGACCCTTTACTGGCATGAACACTAAAGTGAACTTCAAAAAAAACTGGGACATGTTCCAGTGAACTTACTGAAGGGCAAAAGCAAAAAAAAAAAAAAAAAAAAGAAACCAATAGCCCTTTAAAAGGGAAAAAACTTTCTATTCGATAAACAATTTTAAAAATTTACAGGGCACACAGTAACAAGGGAAAATCCGTCCAAAGAAAATGTCAACGAAAAACAACCTTTGAAAATCAAGAGAATTTTTAATTTTTTCTCAAAAAAATTTTCTCAAATTTTACTTTAATGAATAAGCACAGTGAGTTTTCTTTTACTTTTAATGCAAAAGGAAATAAACAAAAAATGAAAAATGGACTCAATAAAGCTTGTGCAAAATTAAAACAAACGGACACATTTATGAAAAAAATAAAATGCACGAAAAAATAAAAAATTTGCACAGAACAGAAACATATGAAACCCTGAAAAACGTAGCAATACTGCAAATAACAATTGCTTTTCAAGGGTTATTGCACAACAAACTTAAATTTCTGCAAAAAAAATTTTTTAAGCAACACAAAGTTTGCACAAGAAATTGCAAAATGAGAATGTGCAATAATAAAAAAAATATTTCAACACAAGAAAAAAACTGTTTACAAGAAAAGAAAATATTAATCAAAGGGTGAACTGAGGAACACTTTTAAATCTAACTGCGCTTAAGCAACCTTTTAAAAAGCAAAAGACAATTAAAAAAAGAACTTTAAAAATTCACTAAGAGTGATTTTTTTTCAACGAAATATGAAAAAAATAATAGATACAAAAAAACAAACAAGAAAGGGTTTTAAAATTCATGACAGAAAACAACCATCAACAAAAACACAATACTAAATTTTTTTGCTTTAAAATTTATGTTGAAAAGTTTGAAAAATAAATTTTCTTGCTTGAACAAATAATGGCACTATTTTCTGTGGAAATAAGAAAATTAACACTGGCTACTGAAAAAATATGAACAAAAAGTTCAAACACAGAGAACAAAACAAGAATACCAGATGCGGGATAAAATTAAAAAAGATAAAACTGAGTTGTGATGCAGAATACAAGGTAATAAATTATGAAATACTTACTGGGAAACTTTTCACGAATTTTAAAAATGTAACACAATTTTTTTACTGCTCATAGTTTTACACACAACAAAAGGAAAAACACTGGTACTTACTTCAAAATGTATAAAAAAAAAGAAGACAACACAACAGACATGTATTAATCCGGAAAATTTAAAACTGAATTAAGAAGGGGAAAAAAAATTTTGCAAAAAGTAAATTTTAAAAAACACTGATTCAATCAAGGTCCGAATGTCACTAAAAAAATCACTGGAACACAAAAAAAATGTCTCAACACTCGCAAATGACACTATGAAAAATATTAATCCCGCTGGGTAAAATGACCTTGTGAAAAATTAGTAGAAGGTCGTGGATGTTTATGTCCTCTCGTGGCTGGCTACGATCACTGACTTCTCTCCACACTCGAAGTATTTGCGCTTAAATCGACGATGAACTCACACAGGAGGCTTTCAATTGTGGCGCCAAACACACCTCGAGCTCCTGACCACCCTATGAGTCTTAAAATATGTGCTGAACCATAGTAAGATTACCAAAACAATGGTAGAGGTTGGGTGAGTGGGTTAATGGCTGAGTGAGGCGGCTGGGGCTGGAACAGGGCTAAGACCGAGACCACGTGGTGAGTGAGTGGGCCCATGGGATGAACGGCGTAAGCCTCACTGGGGACACCCACACTGGCGCGAAGATAATTCTAAGGTGGCTGGCTTAAAAACAAACCCATGAATTACCACAACACCACAGGGATGAAAAAACACTCAGAATGGCTTGGAACTTGAATCACAAGCGATGAAGACTGTACCCACGTGGCTTGCTTGCGTACTGGGGGTAAGACACCTGGTGAGTGCTTGCTGCTATCTTAACCCCTTCACACAGAAATAGCTTTGATATCTCTCATGAAGAAACACAGCAGGGTGGAAAGCTGGCTTGCTAGTCAAAGCTGGATGGAGTAGGCTAGGCTGGAACATGACTGGGTTTTGTTCTGATCCTCCCACCACAGACTGGTTTGCTGGCTTGCAAACTCGGGTCAACCCCTCGGAAGTGATGCAAATAAGCAGATACACACTAATACAAAGAGACTGACGCAGTGAATTAATTAGTGGCTGGTAGACGCTTGAATGAGGTAGCTGGCCTGGGTAGTCCGAGCTACAACCTGCTCGGCCGCCTAATCACAAGATGTCCGTCCGCCAGTAAGAAATTAACTCCAGAAATCGATGTAATCGTCAGGATTACAGGCTTACACTGCTGCCACACAATTGTCGAGGGTTCTTAAAGGAGATTTGCGGTTGAAGTTAAACACCCTAGTGGATGTAACGATATATATTGTCAACTGTTATAATGGGAGATGGAGGCCCACCGCCGTGTCCACTGCCTAGCAGGATGTTATACGCCGACTGAGGCCGAGGTAAGCTCGCCTCACACTCAAGCTGTATCCCGTGAGTCATACAGTCACAGTCGCTAAGGATCTTCTATATAAACACATGGATGATACTAAAATGCACAGTAATCTATAAAACACATGTAAGGGGATTCAGCAACTATGCTGACAGAAGGAGGAGGAGAGAGGAGGAGGAGAAGGAGAGGAGAGGAGGAGGCGGAGGAGGAGGAAGGAGGAGGAGGAGGAGAGGGAGGAGGAGGAGAGAGAGAGGAGAGGAGGAGGAGAGAGGAGGAGGAGGAGGAGGAAAGAGAGGAGGAGAAGGAGAGGAGAGAAAGGAGGAGGAAGGAAAAGGAGGGAGGAGGAGGGAGAGGAGGGGAGGAGGAGAAGGAAGGAGGGAGGAGAAGGTAGGAGGAGGGAGTGCGGAGGAGAAAGAGGAGGGAGGAGGAGGGAGGAGGAGGGAGGAGGAGGGAGAAGGAGGGAGGAGAGGAGGGAGAGGAGGGAGAGGAGGAGGGAGGAGGAGGGGAGGAGGAGAGGAGAGGGAGAGAAGAGAAGGAGGAGAGGAGAAGGAGGAGAGAGAGGAGAAAAGAGGTGAAGGAGAGTTAGGAGAGAAGAGAGGAAGATGAAAACAGATGAGGAGGTGGATGAGGAGGAAGAAGGAAGATGAGTGGAGGAGGAGGAGGAGGGAGGGGAGGAGAGAAGGGAGGAGGAGGAAGAAGGGAGAGAGGAGAATTAAGGTAGTGTGGAGGGTGTTTGTGTTATGGGTGTTTAGGAGAGGAGGGTGAGGAGAGAGGAGGAGTTAGGATGATAGGTGAGAGGTAGGAAATGAGGAGGAGGGAGTTGAGGGAGAGGTGGAATGAGGTGGTAGAGAGGAGGTGAGGAGGGAGGAGAAGGAAGGGAGGGAAGAAGGGAGGATGAGGGGAGGAGGCGGAGGGGGAGGAGGGTGGATGTGTGTGGTGGTGTGGTGGTGATTGTGGGGGGTTTTGTGTTTGGGTAGGAGTGTGAGTGTGGTTGGTAGGGTAGGAGGAGGTGGTGGTGTTGTTTTTGTTGTGGTTGTTGGTTTGTTTGTGTGGTGTGTTATGTGGTGTTTTGTGTGTGTTGGTTGTGTGGGTGGTGTTTTTGTTTGTTTTTGTTTGTTTTGGTGGTGTGTTGTTTTTTGTTGTGTATGTTGGTGTGTGGTGTGTGTGTTTTTGTTTGTGGTAGTGTGGTTTGGTGTTGTGTGGTTTTGTTGGTTGTGGTGTGGTTGTGTGTGTTGTGTTGGGTGTTGTGTGGGTTTTTTGGTTGTTGGTTGTTGGGTTATTGTGGTGTGGGTTTGGGTGTGTGGTGTTGTGGTGGATGTGTTTTGGAGGAGGGAAGAGAGGGAGGGAGAGGAGGGGAGAGGGAGGAGGGAGGGAAGGGAGGAGGAGGAGAGGGAGGGGAGGAGGAGGGGAGGAGGAGAGGAGGAGGGAGGGGGAGTAGGGAGTGTGAGGAGGGAGGAAGGTGGAGGAGAAAAGGAGGGAAGAGAAGGAGGATGATGAGAGGAAGGAGGAAGAAAGAAGAGGGAGGAATAGGAGGGAGAGGAGGGAGGAGGAGAGGGAGGGAGGAGGGAGAGAGGGAGGAGGAGGAGGGAGGGAGGGAGGAGGTGGAGGGAGGGAGAGAGGAGGGAGAGAGGGAGAGAGAGGGAGGAGGAGGAGGGAGAGGAGGAGGGAGAGGAGGGAGAGAGGGGAGTAGGGAGAAAAAAAAAGAAAAAATAATAAAAAAAAAAAAAAAAAAAAAAAAAAAAGCGGAGGGCGGCGGCGGAGGAGGGCGGATGAGCGGGAGACGCTCGGAGTAGGATTGTAGTCTGGATTCTTCGTCTGCGTCGTGCGGTCTGTCGGTGAGGCGGGAGGAGGAGGAGAGAGAGAGAGATGGTGCTGAGGATGGGAGGAGTATAAGGAGGAGGAGAAACAAAGTCCACCCCCTGACATGACGGATGAGATAACATCTACTTTATTGATGAGAGCATCCACAGGGGCAGTGTACAACACTTGAAACGAAAAGATTGAGGTGACAATTTGAGAGGCATGGCCCTGCTTTGTGCTTCTGTTTTCGCTGGAACACAAAACATGTCTGTCCTGTCCAAGCTCCCTGGTCTATCCATCTAGCCTCTGTCTCAAGGAGCCACAAGACTGGTCGTCACGTTTACTCATATCTTCAAGCAGAGTATAGCACTATGTCTGAATTTTTTGGATTATCCTAGGTAATTTACACTGTATACTTGTATTTATGTGTACCTGTGAGACAGATAGACAGACAAATAGAGACAGAGATAGACAGAGACAGACAGAAACAGAGACAGAGATAGAGACAGAGAAACAGACATAGATACACAGATAAATGGAGATAGAGCCAGGCTGCCAGCAGCGACCAGCCAACGCAGCTGGCAGCCATGAATGTTTCTCTTTACTTAGGGTATAGGTTATAAGACATTCTCAAAGGGCATTGCACAAATGTTGCACATGGGTTATTATCGAGATATTTTGATATTTCATCGACCACTTATGGCCACATCCACCTCAAAGCCACTAAACTCGAGGTCAAAATCACTTTCCTCTTAAAATGGGAGAGTTAGTACAACATTAAATCAGTGAAACCTAGGTTGTTTGCTGTGTCTTTTAGACATCTACCTGGCGCACATTTGAACTGGTTCTCCTCACAAGGTACTAAGTGGTCCCAGATTCTTTAATACCGAATACCACACTGATGTTAGACCCATCTAGTGCTGACAAGGCATCTCAGGCCAATCGTGCCACTTTGAAGGCGGGAGAAATAAAATGTATATATTACGTTTTGGGCACAATGGTAAAAACGTATAAATACCGTTTGGACCATTTACGGGGTAATAGTATATTTATAGTATGTTCAAATAAAGTGATGAGATCGAACCTGCAGTCTAGTGGTCCAAGAATTATTAGCACATTTAAGATGTCTTAGCCTACTGCAATACAGGTCTTACAGTTTCACCAACCAAGGTCTGTGAGCAGCCACTACCTAGGATCCTATCACACGTTTCTTGTGGAGAAATTACAACTGTACCAACATGAATTGGCTAATTCTAGCTCCTTCCCTTGTCAGTGTACAAAAAATTTGCACTAAACAAATGACCATGTAGTCTAGTGATATTAGAATTACTAGCCAGTGCCTGTAGTGTGAATATTATTCAGTGAATGAGAAATGAAGAGGTATAGACTACAGAAGAGAGAGAGGTTGGATGAAAGGTACAAAGGTACTAAGAAGTAATTAATGCCTTAACATTTAGAAGACATAAGTGAAATGCTAAAGTGGGATGCAGACAAGTGGTCTACAGCATATAAAATACTGTTGAAGTGAGAGCATACTGATTTCCATTAATTTGGTCCATAATGGCAACAATATGTCTGCCCTTCGGAACAAATAGCTAGGGACAAATGATGATGAATGTGCCTCCTTCCTGCATAACTGCTGTAATGGGAAATGGCTAATGAATTTAAAAACTGTATATCATAAGTACCACACTAACCTTTGATGAACTTTTAGGTCAAACTTTCTTGAACATCTATATGAGCAGTGAGGACAGGCATGAGGTTTCAATTTCAAATGTACCTGTAAAATTACAAAAAATACAATTAGGCAGAGTTGTCTAAGCCATGACTATTATATTCAATCCATTTTTTTTTTAAGAGCAGTTATTCTATCACAGCTTATTTTAAGTTTAATTCACATGATTTCATCAAACTCTCAAGAATTTTCACAATGTCATTTCAAGTCATACAAATGACCCTAAAAGCATATTTTCAACTGAATAATTTTTTTTTTTACTAAAATCAGAAAGTTATAATACATATTAACAATTAACAGCTTCTAAACCACAGTAATATTAATTCAGGAAATCCAACTAGAAGAAAGAATATTCTATACTAAATACGTGTATACAAATACTCACTGCACTAATATGAATTTTTAAAGACTTCTTATCCCAAAACCATCTTTTACATTCATTACAGTACCCCTTTTGTGCCCAGGAAGGAAGATTCTTGGCATTGGTTATATGTAGAACTTGATGGTTTAGGAGTTGTGCCAGTTGTCTAAAGCCTTTTCCACAGACCTATTTTTAACAAATTCAAAGCATCAGAAAGTAATTTTCTAAAGTGTAAGTAAATTTAATTATTTTTTATATAGTTTTATGTTCACTAAGAAAATTTATCAGTTAAATTAATTAATATTCTGATACAGCTTTATTAATAATACAACAAATCTTCAATTTCGAAAGATATAAAAAATATATAGAGAACTGTAGAGCTTTTTAATTCTAGTTACCTTACAAATATGGTCTCGAGTATCTGAATGAGTTTTCTGGTGAATTACAAGTCTCTGCTGTGTACATGTCTTATATGTTTGACAAATTCCACATGTGAAAAGGTCTATATCTATTCCATGGGCCTTCCACAGGTGCAACTGACACATCGACCACTGAAATTAACAAAATAATTTTCTATAATAAGTATATATATCTCCAAAAGCTGTTGTATAAAGATTTTGATGACACCCCAACTTAATACTTTTAAATTAAATTTTAAATTATAACCTGTCCACCTAAAAAAAAAACTGATTAAAGGAAAAAAAAAAGCATTGATATTTGTATCCTAGACGATTGTGTCCCAGTCAAATGCGTCCCGGTCATTGGAGTCCCTAGACACTTGTGTCCGTTTTGTTTGCATCTTACTACATGTGACTATTACTGGGTAACACACCCCATGTTACATAAGCTAAGCCTCTTAACTCAGCTCAAAAAGCAACCATCTAATGAATTAGGGTAATTATAGGAAAATGAGGACAAATTTTCACATGAGGGGTTGCCTACAACATGCATACTTTTTAAATTTGGACTTAAAAATTAAATTTTTTAATCAATAAAATTCAACCCTCTAATCATGCTAACCTAACCTAAAAATAAAAAAAAATACATCTATATGAAATATACATATATTGGGACACCAATGTCCAAGGACACCAATAACTGTGATGCATTTGCCTGGGACACAATTGTCCAAGACATAACTGTCCTGTCACTGAGTATAACATTAGTTTTTATAATTGTGTCTAGAACCTACTTCTCAGTATTTACACAATGTTACATAGAGGCAACAAGTCCCACTTCTTATTATAATTCAAGTTAGGATTAATAAATGAATATAATTAATGAATATACAGTGGACCCCCGGTTAACGATATTTTTTCACTCCAAAAGTATGTTCAGGTGCCAGTACTGACCTAATTTGTTCCCATAAGGAATATTGTGAAGTAGATTAGTCCATTTCAGACCCCCAAACATACACGTACAAACTCACTTACATAAATACACTTACATAATTGGTCGCATTCGGAGGTGATCGTTATGCGGGGGTCCACTGTACCTGTAACGTGAGTGCACCTCTGGCAAGACAGTGATGGAGTGAATGATGGTGAAAGTTTTTCTTTTTTTGGGCCACCCTGCCTTGGTGGGAGATAGCCAATGTATTAATAAAAAAATAATTTGGTAATAGCATTGTAGATGAGTGGAAAAACTACCAGGCAGCATCAATGAGGTGAAAACACTAATTGATTTAAATACAGAATGAAAGGGTTTATTAAGTAGGTGTGGATGGGCGCGTTAGACCTGCTTAGCATGGGCTAATAAGCCTAATGCATTATTCCTTTATTCATATTCTTAGTTTCTCATGTGTATTATGCAGCAAGTCCCTGACACATGATCATAAAAATTATGAAAATCCACACTTATGACTGGGATATTTTGGAACAAATTACTGTACTGTAATTGTTTATAAATGCTGATCTGCAGATATGAACACTGCAAACAGTGAAACATAATTTTCTTAAGATTAGTTTTCTCCTGTAATTTTTCACAAAATGAATTCATATTTGTGTACAGCCATTTCATGTATGTGTGGCATGCTCATATTTGCTTGGTAGAGTTTTGTCACAAACTAAGATTCAGTAATTGTGATTTTGGTTAAGTAAGCTTAGGTAGATGAATTACATTACTGTTTCCTTCATCACTATTTCATCATATGCATAGATACCCTGCCTCGGTGGGATACAACCAGTGTTAAAAAAAAAAAATGCATAGATACAGCGTTTTGTGAATGCTCATGTTACTTCTACCCATGGGTGATTGGATCACAATTATTCTCACCATTCCTTCCTATGTCATATCCCTAGGAATCTATTTTTCACCACAACATAAGAGAGTAAACATTAGCAATCCATGTTGTGTCCGATATGATGGAAGAAAGAGGGAGGATATTCTACTGCTACTGCCCATGCCATGTCTCACTTAGAGTGTCAGATATGACAGGAGACAGAGGAAGTGAATGAGAGAAGGGAGGAAATGCACGAGAGGTTATAGAAAGGGAGAGAACAAGAAAAGAGGGAAGAAAGAGGTGGAAAACTCATCTGAGCACTTTACATTTGTTTTTAATTTCACTGTTAATAATATAAATTAAATTAGATACAGAATATTATGGTTCTAAAACACATCTATGATTATAACAGGTGTCTACTGGAAAATAGGTCACAGTTCCAAATGTTTAAATAACAAATTACCGTACTGATGCGATAAGTACTGGGCACAGAAAACACTTGTGTGGCCACATTGCAAAACCAACTATCTACTCATTAGCATATGTGACTTATTGTATGACAGTCTGTATTAGTATAAAAATGTGCTTTCTTATCAGGACATTTTGCACCTTAAAAGGCTCTCCTTTATAGTATAATAATAAGATATTACAGCAGTACCTTGAGTTACAAACTTAATTTGTTCCAGAAGGCTGTTCAAGTGCCAATACTAAACGAACTTGTTCCCATAAGGAATAATGTAAGTTAGATTAGTCCGTTTCAGAACCCCCCCCCCTTTTTTTTTTCAACAAGTAGGCCGTCTCCCACCAAGGTAGGGTGACCCAAAAAAGAAAGAAAATCCCCAAAAAGAAAATACTTTCATCATCATTCAACACTTTCACCACACTCACACATTATCACTGCTTTTGCAGAGGTGCTCAGAATACAACAGTTTAGAAGCATATACGTATAAAGATACACAACATATCCCTCCAAACTGCCAATATCCCAAACCCCTCCTTTAAAGTGCAGGCATTGTACTTCCCATTTCCAGGACTCAAGTCCGACTATATGAAAATACACTTACAAAAATACACTTAAACAATTGTTCGAGTTGGGAGCTGTTTGAAACTCAAGGTACCACTGTATCTCCGTTATAGAATAATAATAAGATATTATCTCCTTTATATCATAACAATAAGGTAAAAGGACCCAAATAGAAATAAGTCACTCTGACTTTTTTGGGTTATCCTAGGTTCTGTACACATATGCTGTTATGTATGATAATCTATGTTACTGTATTTGTGTTAACCTGAATAAACTTACTTACTAAGGGAGGGAGGGAGGAGAGGGAGGGGAGGGAGGGAGGGAAGGAAGGGAAGGAAGAGAAGGAAGGGAAGGAAGGGAGGGAAGGGAGGGAGGGGAGGGGAAGGGGGAGGGGAGGGAAGGGAGGGGAGGGAGGGGAAGGGAGGGAGGGGAAGGGAGGGAGGGGTAAGGGAGGGAGGGGAGGGAGGGGAGGGGAGGGGAGGGGAGGGAGGGGAGGGGAGGGAGGGAGGGAGAGGGGAGGGGGAGGGAAGGAGGGAGGGAAGAGGAGAGAGGGAGGAAAGAAAGAGAAGAGAGAGAGAGAGAGAGAGAGAGAGAAGAGGAGAGAGAGGAGAGAGAGAGAGAGAGAGAGAGAGAGAGAATGGTGTGTGTGAGAGAGAGAGAGTAATTTTTTAAGTGTGGCATACTTGGAATATAAATTTCTTGTGTGTGGGGAAAGAATTAAAAAAAAAAAAATTCAAAAAGATTGAAAGAGTGCCTTTTTATGAACAGAACTGAACTAAAGAGTGGAATCTGATGAAAATTTATGCTTTTATGGTGCACTGAAGTTGGCAAAAAATTGATCACTTGTCAACAACAGCAGCATTAATGTGTCAGTGATAATAACATTTTACATTTTTTTTTTTAACACGTCAGCCATTTCCCACCAGGCGGGGTGACCCAAAAAGAAAGAAAAACACAAAAGGAGAGAAAAAACTTTCATCATCATTCAACACTTTCACCATCACAATAACTGTCTTTGCAGAGGCACTCAGATACGACAGTTCAGATGTCCCTCCAAAATGCCAATATCCCAAGCCCCTCCTTTAACCCTTTCAGGGTTTCTGACGTACTAGTACGGCTTACGCACCAGGGCTATTGACGTACTAGTACGCCTAAATTCTAGTACCTTCAAATCTACTGAGAGAAAGCTGGCAGGCCTACATATGAAAGAATGGGTCTATGTGGCCAGTGTGCACAGTATAAAAAAATCCTGCAGCACACGGTGCATAATGAGAAAAAAAACTCCAACCGTGTTTTTGGTTTAAAACAGTGAATTTGCAGTGTATTTTCGTATGGTATTTATGGTCGTATTGTAGATTTCCTCATCTCACTTTATAGAATGGAAGACATATTACAGAAATTGAGATGATTTTGATTGGTTTCATAATGAAAAGTACCTTGAAATTGAGCTCAAAGTAGCAGAAATGCTCGATTTTTAAAAGTAAACAAATCATGCCAAGCATCCAATACACGTCAATTGGTGAGTCTAATATTCTTTCACAAGAGCGCTGATATTATTTATACCATTTCTACACTAATGCAGTAGTCTGCAGAACAGTAAATCTTCTATTTGTTGTGACAAAAATTCAAAGTGGAAAGCAAAAGAGATGTAGGAGGGGCCTGGGGACGTGACTAATGAACGGAGAAAATGTAATTTTAGTGCCAGGAATTGTCTATCAATGATTATCTGGACCCGAATAGAAATTGGGCATCTTCTGAAATTTGTGTGAAATTTGGGCAAAAATTGCAATTACTGACGCACTTTATGATAGTTGAATTAGTAAATGTAATGGGTTTCTTGTACACATTCGATAGAAAAAACTGGAGTTCTAGCGAAATCGATATGATTTTTTTGTCAACTAGACACTGTAATTGCCGAAAATAGTGCTCAAAGTGGGCTGAAAGATCCGAATGCGTCAACATCGCGAGACCGCTAACTTCTGCGAGAGCATAATTCCGAAAGTATTCCATCAAATTTCTGACTTTGGTGTCATTGTGATCGGAAAAAGATTCCTCTCTCATTTTCATAAGAAAAAATAATTTTTCTTTTCCAAAATAAATTTCGACCCTTAGAAAAACGAGTTAGGAGAGGGCCTCTTGGCCCTGAACGTATTAAAGTGCAGGCATATGTACATCCTTTTTCCAGGACCTAAAGGTCTGGCTAACTGGTTTTCCTCTGAATCCCCTTCACTAAATATTTACCCGCTCACACTCCAACAGCTCGTCAGGTCCCAAAAATCATTCGTCACCATTCACTCCTATCTAACAAACTCAGGCATGCTTGCATGAAGTTCAGAACCCCTCAAACCCACAAAACTTCCCTAACCCCTCCCTCCAACTATTTTGAGGACTGGACCCTACCCTGTGCTGCCATCCTTCCTCCCCAACAGATTATATTCTCTCCAAGTCATTCCACTTTGTTCCCATACTCTCTAAAATGAACAAACCAGCTCAATAGTCCATCTTCCAGCCCACTGCTTAACTCCACACCCCTCTTAATTTCCACATTACAATTCTCTGTATAATATTTATAACCACACATTGCCCTTAGACACGACACCGACTCCACTGCCTCCCAGCTGCCTTCTCGCTGCAGCCTTATACAACCCATGTTCCCACCCTATTAGTTTTGGTATCACCAACTCTCTTCGTAACGTTCCCTTCCTTGCCTCCATGGAAAAAAAGTTTTTTTGTCTCCACAATACCTCAATGCACCACTCACCCTTTTTTCCCTCATCAATTCTATGGGTAACCTCATCCTTCATAAACCAATCTGCTGATAAGTCAACTCCCCAATATCTGAAAACATTCACTCTTCCATACTCCCTCCCTCCAATGTGATATACCCCAAATTCTTTATCTAAAT